TTGCTTCCACCAGCACACATCAGAGTTACAGCAGATTCAGATTCTCTATTCCAGAAAATATTTGTATCTCAGTCAAATGCCTGGCAGATAGGTCTGGCTGGCTCCATGTATCTTTTCAAAGCAGCTCTCAGCAGAGGATAAAGAACAGAGAAATCTTGGGGGTATCAGATTTACTGTGAGTCCTCAAGAGCAGAGGGCAAGCAAGCACCAGGGAAAGAACTGAACATGCATGAATGACCTTTCTGTGCAGCCTCTACCAAGAACTTTTTCCTGCATCAGAAACCTATCACCATTCCTTACACAGAAGGTCAAACAAAACTCAGACAAAATTAACCTCACCTTCAAAATATCCTGCAGCTGTCTCAAAACAGCATGGACCTCTTCTTGTAAAAGCCATTTAAATTCTTCTTCCTATGTAATGGAAAAATAGAAGTGGAATCATTAGACATCAAACACTGCAAGCAAATCTCTCAGACATATGCCAAAATTAAGTGTACTGTTCTGCGCTGTTTAAATAAAGGAGAACAAAAGTTTTCTTCCTGATTTGTTGAAACGCCTCAGTCTCCACATCTCCACTTCTCCATCCCAGTCCAATGAAGTGTCCTCATTTTTGCCCGTTGTTTAAGAAAGCAATTTGGTACACAAATCACTGTACCAAAAAACCTAGAATTGAATGCAACTTTCAGAGCAAAGTAAAAATACTACTGTGTCAAAAACTGGGGCATCTTTTTATGCTTTTGAGATGGACTCACCTGGCTGTCAGACACTACCCAGCCTCCCTCACTGCCCCTTCCTCAGAAGGAAATAAGGTAATAGGCCAAGGTAAAGCTAGAGAGATCCATTACCAACTCCTGGTACAGACAAAAAATCAATTTGCAGACAAATTTGTTGCTAATTAAGTGGTTAGAAACAAAGATATAAACTAAAATGAGCATCCCCACCCACATCCCCAGCATTTCCCAAGCAATAACAGTCTAAAACCAAAACAGTTAAAATGAAAAGGGGGGGGGGGGGGGGGGGAACACAGGCTGGGGACTCCTAATCATTGGGGCAAATTCAGTAACAAACAAGTTCAGATCTGATGACTCACTGCCTTGAGCCTCCATTGGCTGCTGCCACAGAGAAGCCTGTATAAAGCAGACCCTCAAAGCACATCTAGCGTTCCTGTTAAACCATGAGTCCCCATGCAGGTCATCAAAGAAGTGGGGAACAGAAGCAAGCATGGGATAAAGAAAAGATTGCCACTTGTCATCCTGTAAGAAAAGAGAAATTTTCCATGGGGAGAGTTCTGAGCAGCTTGCCCACAGAAAAACAGGCAAGCTATGGTCAACTCAGATTTTTAAGCTTGCAGTTTCTCTGCTAGATGGTTCCAGCTCACCATGAGGAACACAACCCCCCACTGAGGTGTCATCACCTTATGCAAGTTATCTCAACAACCAGTAGGACAAAATCAGGTTTGTTTCAGCAAACCTTTATCCAAGGCAGGCACACACAACAAAGCCAAGCAGGATTCTCTGTTATCCTTCAAAGCAGTTTGAGTGCAGGACCACCGACTTTGATGCTTTAATCCTCTTTTGGGTTTCTGGGAATTATACTGATCATAGAATATTCTTAACTGGAAGGCAGCCACAAGGATCATGAAGTCCGTGTGTGGGCTCATGAAGTCCGTGTGTGGGCTCTACATGGGACAGCCCCAAGAATTCCACCACGTGCCTGAGAGTGTTGCCAAAACTCTCCCTGAAATCTGTCAGTCAGGGTGCTATGACCACTGCCCTGGGGAGCCTCTTCCAGTGTCTGACCACCCTCTGGATGAAGAAACTTTTCCAAATATCCAGCCTAAACCTCCCCTGACAGAGCTCCATGCTGTTCCCTCAGATCCTCTCACTAATCACCAGAGAGAAGATGGATGTGCAACTCTCACTCTGTAATGTTTGGCGTCCTCCAGGTTCCCAAAGGAACAGTGATCCCATGGGTGCAGCAGATACGCTTAGCACCTCCAACACCCACCACTATTATGCAGGTGTTTCTACTCAAAATGCCCATTGGTATGTTTCTTCCCTTTAGTCACAGCAAGAAATTGCCTTTCCCCTGCCCATTAATTTTGGAGTAAGCCAAGTTGGTGCACATCTGTGCGCCGCACAGCTGTGTTTTTGGGGAATGCTGGTCATACGCTTCTAAACCATATGACATTAGAAAAACCCGTTTTCCCATGTGGATTTCCATCCAGACCGACGTATCTCTAAACCCTATCTCCATACCGAAGATGTCATTGTTCCTCGGAGATCCTGTTCCGGGGAGGCCGAAGTGACGCCTGCTCTGCGCCGCCCCTGCGGCTACCAGTTCACTAGGGCGGTTCGGGCACCCACCATGTGAGGGGCGCTTCAGGGGGACACCAAGGTCAAAGGGCACATTCACGGTGTGCCGGGAGCAGGGCGACCCCGGCCCTGCCACCCCACCCAACCCCACCCGGCCCATCGGAGGAGCAGCGTCGATGGCAGAGAAGCATGGGCGCCGCTGCTGGGCGAGGCGGGAGGAGGCCGCGGCCTCCAAGCCACACGGCGACGGCGCTCGGGCACCGGCCCAAAAGCCTGACCCGACAGCATGCCGGAACTTCGGCAGCACCTCTAGTTAAGGCAGCTGCACTAGGGCTGGGCCCGAGCAGCCCCTGCACAGGGCTCGGCCCGGACCCAGGCGCAGGGGACGGCCTTGCCGCCATCCCACGGCTCCCCGCCCGAGCCCGGCCACACAGAACGAATCTGCGGGGGCCTAGAAGCGCTGTCATGAGCAGGGAGAAGCCGCTGTCGCTCGCCCCGGCCCCGCCGAGCGCCCGCCCGACTCACCAGCACCGCCCGCTCCCCCTGCGTCGCCATCGCCGCCGCCATCCCGACACCGCCAGCCCCGCCCCCAGCGCCGCACGCGCACGGCCCAGCAACGCTTGATTGGGCAGCGCCGCTCTCCACCGCCCGCGAGGGCGGGGCCCCGCGCGCGACGACAGCAGGGCGGGACTTCGCCCGCACACGCCCCGAGCGCGTCCCCGCTGCCAAATAGGTTAGACCGGCCCGTCCCCAGCCCAGCGCACATAGGCGACGATCAAAACGAACTGCGTGTAAGAATACTCAAGAAGTGATGAAACTTCCACTCATTTAAAATAAATACATTTATCCTGGCAGTGAGGTCTTTGTATAGAAGTCGGTGAGTTCCCTTTCACAACGGTTGTACTGCGAGCGAGATGAGAGGTGAGGGCATAGCATCTTCACCACACCAGCCCCTGGGGAGGGGTAGGAGATGGGAATGATCCTTCAGGGTAGGGAAAGCTTCCAACAGCCCCGGTTCCTGCTGTAAGCACAGCTCTCGACTTCCTATCTGTTGCTTTTAATGACAGTGCTCAAAAAGAGGTGCTTCCTCGGGCACCTATAACTCACTGCACCTGAAACCCACTATTATCTATGCTTCATTTCATCCTCACACCTCAGGGCAGGAATAGCTACTGCTGTCCAAGTGTCTGATTATCCACGAGCAGTATTCAGAGCTTGTAAACATTTCAGTTAAGGATCATATCTTAGAATACCAAATTAACTGCTGAGTTACTGTTCACAGAATCATGGGATGGCTGGGGTTGACAGGATCCTTAATGCTCATCTCATTCCACCCTCCTGTGATGGACAAGAATATTCCACTGGATTCAAAAAAACCCCAAATGCCAGAAGGATGAATATCCCAGCCCAAAACTTAACAGAAGTTGTCATCAACACCGGAATATTAAAACCAAGGATCCTCCTCTCATCCCAGATGCATGTAGCCCTCTGCACACAGAGCATGGAATTTATCCAAACTTATCCTCTGTAATGCCTCACTGAGAGTTTCAAGCTTGAGCAATGACTGAAGTGTTCTCAGGATTACTCAGTTTTCAGATGACTTGGTTTTCAGCAGCTCTGAGTTTCTAGTGTTCTGAGGAACACATACTTCCTTAATGCCCCAAGACAGCTCTGATAGGCTTCAGAAAATGCCACAAGAACATTCAGTTACCAAGAAAAGTTTTATTCTTTTTGCCAGTAGCTTTGTTAATTGCACAAAAAAAAAATCTTTGCCATTTAAACATTTTCACACATCCTATTCTGAATGACAAATGTTAATTAAAAACAAGGCAGGAAAATAAAAATTCACAACCTTAATGAACTATGTGATCTATCATTGAGGAAAAAGGAAACTGCTTTTTCTTACAAGCTTTCACAAGTGTCACATTTTCTCTTTAAAAAGGAGGGAGTTAAAAAAAGCAAACTTCTAAAACAAATCTTCATAAAAAGAAACTTTACAGAATTGTCAACAATATTAGGACAACATTTAACTAGCCAGTTTTATTAGAGCATCTCTCAATCCATTGCTTCCCCCACTTCCCTCCCTCAAATCCCAGGCCTAGGAACAGACTCAAATCCACATTCAGAGGCTACAGACATAAATACAAGAATCTGAGTGAGACTGACAGCAATCTCAACTGGCATCTGGAACAGTCTGGATTCCCCCATTTCCATCCCTCCTCTTCAGAGCCACATCAGAGCTCTTTGGTCTCCTCCTGCTTCTCCTGGGCACACCTGTGACTGTACAGCTGTCCAGGCAGCACTGCAGCCACTCTACAGCTACCCACAATGGCTGAAAGCTGCAGTCAGACCCTTCCAGGATAAATTACAGTGTTAACTAGTCCACATCTGCCACTCCCACAGAAATAACCATCTCCATTCTTGGGAACTACAGTATTTCTGGAAACAAACCCTGCAGCAGTGAGCTGCCTTGGGACTGGTCCTTTGAATTCATTATGAAATACCTGTCACAGGACTTGAGAGCTCCTTTGGCATTCTCTCTGTATCCAGAGGCACCACAAACTAACAAAGATACTCCATTACCATTGCTCACACCATTCACGGTCACTCTGGCACAAGACGGCAGGGACGGGGGGGACGCCACTGAACTGGCTCTGCACACAGGACAGTACTTCCTTCCTCCCAAAAGATTTTTTCCTTCAGTCTCATTTCCTGCCTCCAAACCCACAACTTCCCTCAGATGCCCACAATGCACAATTCATATGAGAGATTTTTTTTTTTTACTATAGTATGTTTAACAAAGGACTTCAGATGCTAACTGTGGAGTTCTGAGTGGAGAAGAACAGTGTGCCAAAGCAGGTCAATGGTTAACTATGCTGGCAATTTTACATGCCTTTAACGTGAATACCTACATACAGAATGGCAGTGGCATTGCCAAAGGAACACAGGTGTAGAACTACCATCGCCCACACACAGTGGCCAAGAGGCAGTGAGGTCTGACAGCCCTGTTGCCAGGTGTTCACTACAGGATATAAGTAATGCAGAATACAGCATCAGCCCACAAGGAACAGTCATCACAGGAGGTGAAATACTCAAAGTAACATTTACAGCATAAGGCATTAGATGTTGTGATTCAATGAGTATGTGACACTTTCCTTCTTTCTTTCTTAACAAGGTGTCCCTGAACCATACACACATGCTGCACAAAGCAGGACTGGTAAGAAATCCTAACCCAGGGAAAATTTCCTTACACAGCCATTAAGTTCCTAGGAAAAAAAATAAGGTGGCAGGGGCAGATGTCAGGAAAACAACCTAATTTGAATTTGTCTTCTTTCCTTTCAGAATCCCAGCCCAAGGGAGGAAGGAGATTGTACCACTTGAGCAGTGATTTTGGCCAAAGTTTCTCACTGGCATTTTTCTAACACTCAAATTTAAAATGCAAGAACACTCCCAAAAGGCTAATACTGAGAATTGGAAAAAAAAAAAAAAACCCAAACCAACCAAAAACCAAGCCACACCCCGTGCATTTTTTGTGACAGGCATCCTTTGGACTCTGGGTTGCTCTGCTATCTACACTGAGACCATCTCTGTTCTCTAGCCTTGGCATCTGCAGTTCATGTCACCCATCTCTAGACTAAAGCTCAGCAGTGGTCTTAGCCTCCCCAATCTCAGTTATTGGTCTTTCTAGAAGTTGGTATCTGGCCATAAGCAGAGTTCACAGATACAGGGAGAAGGCTCATGCTGTGCTATCTTGTACCCAAAGTAGTAACACTAAGAACATGTATGGAAAATCTGACATGTATAAAGATCACTAGGCAGTACACAAAAGTATCCCTGTGAGGTAGGTAACCATCACCCACCTTTATAGATGGGCAAACAGGCTGAGAGATGTGACAACCATGCAAAGGCCAGAGAGCACAGAAAGGAGCTCAGGAATCTCAATCTCTTGGATCATTCTTCTCTCCCTTTTCAGACTCACCACTCTGCTTGTGACACTGCTGCAATCCAAGACACCTTTGTAATTATTGACTACAAGGGTTAAAAAAAAACCAAACAAGTAGTAACATAAGCTAAGGCCAGGAACAAGTAAAATCTCTAGCCCAGTTTTATAGGCACTATGTTTGTCTTGCAGTTCTCTATGCAAAGGTGCTACTTTCCAATGATGTTTTGGATGGGCTATGAAAAACCTTTCAGGAGTCTCATTGACATAAGTATTCTCCTATTTTCAGTACAGTTTGTATTCCCTAAGCTGTAGTTGTCTGTACAGGGGAAGACATGGATGCAATGTGTTATCTTTAACAGTACAGGAATTCCTCCATCAACGTGGGGAAGTGGAACTCTAAAAAGAAACTGAATCAAGAGTGTTGCACTCAACTCCCCTTACCCTCTGGAACTGCCCTTCTCCTCCATGGGAGGTGCCTTGTTCTCTAACAGTGGCTAATTAGCAGGCATGCTCCTCACCTTACTTGGGACCAAGGACCCTGTCCCCTTGATGCAGAGAGTCCAGCACTTGCATTATTTCACAGCAAAGAAAAGGGATTGTTAGAAACAGCATCTTGAACTAGCAAACAGAGGAAAATTAAAGCAGCCAAGCAGCAGATTTCTGGCAGAGTTGCCTCAGAGCTTCTGAACAATTGCCGCTGTTTCATCTCACGACTGTCAGTGCATGGCATGGATTTTTCTAATTAGACTGCAACAATCCGAGCCCCCTCCTCCCCCCTCCTGCCACAGTGGAAGGCTCACCACAGCAGGTCTCAAAGTTTGTGTATAAAAGGAAATGGAAAGACAGAGATGGACTGGTCCAGAGTTAAAACCCAGTATCATAATAATATTAATCAATCATCATCGTATGAACAGTAAGAAGGGTGCAGCCTAATGGATGTAGGCCCTGTACACTGCGGACATGTCGTTGTCAGATTGGTCCAAGGCTTTTGCTCGTTTATAGACCTAAAGAGAAATCAGAAAAGGATCAGAGTCTGCTCTTGTGTGAAGCCTTTTCCCAGCAGAAAAACTCCTTTGCTGACCACTGCAACCAGAGAACCGCACAGGACGTCAAATAATCCAAGTGCAGATCAGAAAATGCCAGGTCTTTCTGTGTTTCCTGATGTAACATTCTAAGTGTCTCTACAATCAAAACAAATCCAATGCTACCCTAGTCAAAAAATATTTCAATCACTGTTCTCTTGTCTTAGAGATGATGTAATTCTTTGATCTGCGTCTCCGATTGACAAATGGCACTGTTGAATAAATGCTAAAGAACACATCTAAACACTGAACAACTCTTACCTCGTTGGCAGCAGCTGCCATGGGAGTTGGGTGGTTGACAGAATCGCCCAGTGCAATAGCTAATCTAAGATCCTTCTGGATGTACTTCAGGTAGAAATCAGGTTTGAAGTTTCCTTGCAAGATATCTGCGGAGAGGAACCCATGCAAAATTAAGCATGACAAAAGGAAGCCAAGCCAATGCTGCAGGGGGCTGTAATTCAACACCAATCTCTCTTTCCATTGCTGATCACTACTTTTAACTCTCCTGTTTTTGCACTCTCCATCTTCATTTGGCCACAGCAGATTAATATCACTACTGCCCACTGACAAAGTGAGCTAAGATTTCTAAGCAGCTTGTTACCCTGCTGCAATGAAATCCTGACTTAAGCCCTAAGCAGTCCTAACTCAGATTCTCAGAAGTCCCAGCTATGAAGGGGAAGGAATGGGAACTCAGTTCTTCATTTACAGAATGCTCAAAATAACCATTATCCCAGGTTGATGAAGATGAGATTGTTATGTTCTACCTTCTGCCACTATCTGAAAAGCTGTATTTTAAGCATTCATTTCCAGAATGCTTAAAATAACCACTATCCCAGGCTGATGAAGATGGGATTGTTATTTTCTACCTTCTGCCACGATCTGAAAAGCTGCTAGATTGTAAAAATGACCTGTAAGAAAATAGTGTAAGAGAACTTTACTTTGGCACTTCTGGTCCAGGAAGATGCTGGCAAGTTGTCCCTGATTGAGGATATCCAGAAGGGTCTGCTGGGACTGGCCAGTCACTTGAGCCAAAGTCAGTCCTTCTGCTATTGTTGCCATGAAGCTGCCTTGGACCATGTTCACAATCAGCATCATCTTGGCGGCATTGCCTACTTCACCTGGGAGTGAGACACACCATTGGGATTCCTCCAGAAGAGATGTAGCAGCCCTACCTCCCTAGCCCACACAGCAGTGACACTGTTAGATTCCTGTCATCAAGCACTTGGCATCTCTCCCTTGACCTGAAAGACTTCAGAAAATATTTCCATTTTCCAAGCACTCAAAGGAATGGAGAAATAATAAGAAAATATTATTTAAAACCAAAAGTATCACAGATCCTCCAAAATAAGCTGGCATTCAAAAAAGAAACCTTAGCCTGCAGGCTCTGAAACTGGCCAAGTTCCAGAGCAGCAAGCCAATTTCCCACACTGCCCACAGAAAAAAGGTGACATATACATCTCAGACTCCTTGCTGAAATTCCCAGTCCTTGCACTAAGAAATTGCTATCAGGCCCTCCACATTTCAATTACCTAAGAAAAAAGAGGTCTTCCCCATGGCTTGGAAACAGCTGCTGCAGTCCTCATATAAACCCCTGTCACCAGCTGCCAGGATCACAAGCATTCCATCATTAGAGAGCTGCTGGTTTCCTGAGACTGGTGCTTCCAGAAAGCGACCACCTCGGGACACTATCACCTGGGAGAAGAACATCTCTGGTTAGCTGTGCATGAACAGCAGCAGGAACATAATTTAAGGCATACCTGCCACTAAGGACAGAAATTTAAAGCAGAACAAATAGCTCCAACAGGAGAGGAAAGCACTATTGTGATGTATCCTGCAAAGTGTGATTAAGACCAAAAGGGTCCATGCAAGACCCTCCAGCACCCATCACTACTGTGTATATTTTAAGCAGCTGAACTGACACGCTTTAGTCATGGCACCCTATACTGGCCAAGGGACCAATGTTGAAGGTGTATATGTCGCATAAGAACCCCAGAAGATTGATCACTGTATTTTCCCCTCTTTCCCACAGAGGAAAGGCCTTTGACAGACCTCTTCAGCCACATGTTTACTAATATGGGTGATCTGCATTCTCTGAATTAACGTTACACACCAGCACATCAACAACATGTTTACTTAGAACTTGACAAAACCAGTTCCCCTTCCTTGTAAAACCACACATGCTGCCTTAGGGCAGTGGGGAACAAGCAAGATGCCAAAAAAGAAATCACAGATACCACAGCAGAAGTAATCAGAACACTTCTACAGAAATCCTATAATAGTATTTCTATAGAATGAAATGTGAAGGCATTAATTTTCCCCAACCAGAGCACTTAAACTAGGCAGATTTTGCATTTCATCAGTCATTAATCTAGATAGGGTTTTACTCACGAGTTTGCTACAGAATACCAACCTGTCTACAAATATTTCTTAGGGGATCAAAATTTGGCTGTTTGCAATGGTGTCAGGTAACAGCTCTGCCAAATCTACAACTTCGCTGGTATCACCAGGGAGCATCTCATCCAACACTGTTTGCTGGTTAAGACTTGACAAAGAAGACTTGTCTTGTTTGCCTGGAACTTGAGACTCTCCCAAGGACCTCTAAAAGTTTTATTACCAACAGAAACTGAAGAACTTCTGCTGAATGAACACCTGCTGCTGTTAAGAGGCTCAGTTCGGTGATTACCTGGGCCAGCTCTGTGACTGTATCTGCATCCACTGTGGACATATCCACATAACACTTCCCTGGGCGAATCCCCTGCAACACTCCACTTGGACCAAGCACCAGCTGTGGAGAACAGAAGAGCGGTAAAGCAATAGGGTGTCTGCAGAGAAACCCCACTTCTGCAGGAGTCCAGCTGAGTCTGGCGCTACAGTGGCAGACCCCCAGAGGGTTATCAGAACCGGTCCTCAAAGACTTCATTTTTAAAATGCTTAATTTTTGTTAGGACATTTATTTTCACACAGCTGCACTGCTCAGGATGTACAATGACCCAGGCTACTGTGGTTAGCAGGAATCAGAACCGGCATTCAGTGACTGCCATCTCATAGTCTAACCAGCAGGGGTAAAATAAGAGCTAATCCTTACATCCTTTGCTGCTTTTGGATCTGATACACAGGCAAACGTGATGTCACAGGTGGAGACTACTTCAGCAGGGGTTCTTCCCAGCCGTGCACCCTCCTGGATGAACAAATCACACTGCAAAAGGCACAAGTCCAAAGGTAAGACAAATATTAAATACCAAGCAAATGGATTCTTTGCATTTTGCTGTAAAAATTCTACCGCAGGACACAACTCTAAAGGAGACAGGCATGTTAATTACACAACTTTGTCTTCTTCTGTTGCTTTGTCTACACACACACATATGTGCGTGTGCAGGGCTTTTTGCAGCTTTTCTGAAGAAGGGGTGAAGAACTTTGAAAGAAAGACACAAAGAAATAAAACTCTAAGGTGAAACAGGAAGAAATTTGTGGGTTTGGCAAGAAATTATTAGGGAAAAAAAGGAAGATTTAGGGAAAAAAATTGGTTAAAGGACATAGCAACATGTGTTACTGGATAGTAATAGGAATATGCACATCTTAGATGAGTGTGTTTCAGAGGGCTGCTGCTTCAAAATCTTAGCTCCTCCTTACCCTATCCCCTCATATCAGCCATGTTTTGCTCTTGAAAAAAATAAATCTTAGTCCCCTTTTAACAAAGTAACCACAGCACCCTTCCTGCTCTGCTATTCCACAGCATCTTACAACTACCACATCTCCCCCAGCTACCTATATTCCTACTCCACTACAAAGAGTAACACTGTCTAGTATATAAGTGCAATGCAATATAAGCTCCATTTTCAGTTTGAATACTCCTATAAAGCCCTTCTCCATCCTGGTCTCATGACACAACAGGTCTTTAACAGAACACTTGTTACCACATGACTAGCACAATAGATGTAGACTAACCTGCAGCTGAGCAGTGCATCTTACCATACCCTCAATCTCCTGGGATAACACCCTGCACCTGGCCTTTTTGGCACAATACGTTGCATGGCAACTCACATCAGCAGTATTTTCATGGCTATTCACAGATGCACAATACACTGATCATGGCTATTCACATCAGCAGTTATTTTCAGAGGCATGTTACATCTCATTCTTCAACACATACATGGGTGTAATATACAAAAGTGTAATTTTTCTGACAATTCTCTCCTCTCACACAAAAAGGCAGTGGGGTGAGACCACTGACATAAGAGTGACCACACTAGAACAGACCACAGCTGCACCTAGTCATGCCCACCAACAAACACATAGGAAACAGGACAAAACAAGGTGGCAAGCATATCCTTGTGTTTCTTTGGCATCCCCTCCCAGACACCACTGACAGATGACTCCATGAGATACAGGGGGTAACTGAATGTTTAGCAGAGGCTTAAGCACATGCCTACCTTCTCAGCAGTCCGGTTCCAGACAGTGACAGTGTGACCCATCTTTAGCAAGTTGGAGACAATGCCACTTCCCATCAGACCAAGGCCCAGAAATCCTATCCTAAGGGTATAGATAAACATTAACGCAAGAGAGAGCAATCAGTGTTAGCTTCCCATGGTGCTGGAAATGACAAAGAGCAAACTGGAGCATCATCAGCACAAAAAATACCCAAACAAACATGTTCTACTGCAACCACAGCTACAATGGGCAAATACTGAGCTTTAAAAGCAAGCTGAAATTTATTTTGCTTACCAAGCATCCCTAACAATTTCCTGAACAAAGTCTTTAGCCTATTTCATAAGATCACCTAAATATTAAAGGTTTGGATGGTCGGGATTCTTTTTGTTAGTTTGGGGTGGATGGTTTATGTCTGGTTTTTTGCTTACTAAAAATTGCTGTTTGTGCGCTTTCTGTTGACAGTCATTGCTTTACTGAAGTTAAAGGGCACACTTAGAAATGAGCAGGTGCTTCTCTAATTATTAATCTTCTGACTTTAAAACTAAGTCACACATATAATGTTTGCTTGTATAATTGAACGATACATTAGTATCCTAGTTTTGATAAAGTCTAGCTAAGACTACTGTGCTAAGCATCATGCCAGACCAAAGACCTAGTCCCTGTTCTACAGCTGCCATTTCAGACAAAGGAAGAAAGGAAGTATTGAGCCAGTACAGGTCACCATCAGTCCCAGAGAACACCCTTTCCTTCCTCCCACAGGGTGGAAAGAATTTTGCTCCCTCCATTCAAAAAAGAGAGACTATGCCACCAAGTCCCTATGATCACCTACAACAAAAATTCCTCTTGCAGATATTGCTGCAAGAACCATTTTACCCATCATGCAGTTTCCCGTAAAACCCAGAGTTTTCAAAGAGATTCTGACGCATTCAGTTATATCCAAGGTAACACCACAACAAAAGCTACCTGGCAAATCCAGTAGTTAATTCTGCAGAAATAGCCACACTACAGCAGCACCTGTCTTCTCCCAGCTAGCCATGCTGCCTTTTCCTCTTTCTGCCCTTAGATAGGGCAGAGCAAATCACTACAGGCTCCTTAAATGGCCCAAATAAGATCTACCTATTTTCAAGTCTCGAAACCAGCAGAGGTATTCCTTCCTTCACAACCCACCTCTGAGATGCACTTTCCTGAGAGACTGTTTTCCCTGAATAGCTTCATTGTTATTTTTGTTCCCCTGCAGTACAAATGAGAACTGGCATCCCACGAGAACTGCCCCAACAGCAAACAGCAAGAGTGGCCTGAACTCAATGTGAACAGAGCAGAAGTTACAGGAAGCTCAAGCTAGCCTTCCCTCACTCTATAAAAGAGAATGGGTGCGTTAGGAGAAACCAGAAAGCTCATGTGCCACACAGCAAAGTTTTTGTGATGGGAGAACACATCTCCCTCTTTCTTTTGTCTTCTGCATGCTCAGGAGAGCTATTAAATGACCCCAGTCAACTAATGGAGAGAGATCCCCTTTTATCTTCCTATCTCATGCAACACTTCGGAATACTGCTGCTAACATCCTGCAGTGGGACCAACTGAAAAAAACAACTGCAGAAACACTCCAAATTGCAGATGTATCCAGGACAGAATTTACTCTGAATTTTGTATTGCACAGCCCCCTTTGAATTTAGCTGCCTCTCTCCCACCTTGTCCCCCAAACAGTTTCACACAAGGAAAGAAGCAATGTGCAGTTAAAGGGAAATGTTAGGTTTATTCATTCTCAGTGACAGGCTGGAGAATGGCTGCATGTGTGAGCTGGGAAGGAAATGGCTGAAGTGTATTGGAGATCTTACTTTTTGTCTGTAGGTGTGATGCTGCCATTGACTGCTGTGCTGTCTGCTGCCTGGATCGAGGTGGATCCTGTCTCCTGAGGGAGTGGGGTGGGGGGACAAGGGCAGGGGGGTGGGGAAAAGAGAGGGGAAAAATAATAATAAAAATAATTTAATGCACAACTGTGGAAGAACCGCAACGCCTCATAACAATAAACATCCATCAAAATGAAGATTTGCTTTACCTCTTCACAAACCTTCAGCTTTTTTGTGATGGCTTGATAGCAGACAGCTGGCTGTATGGAGAAGACAAAGCATTCAGGGGAAGGACAGTGCTGATTTACTCTGCCGAGCAAACAGACCATATCCTTATTCCACAGAAGCAGGGAGCTCACCCACCCACCACCACCTTCAAACCAGGACAACTCTGAGGCTTCCCTCAAGCGGAGAAAATAAAACCTAAAATACATTGCAAGATATTAAGATTGTTCTTTCCCACCCTGCCCCAGCAATTCACCCTGTCTTCTGACAAAGGCACTGCAAACTCCCTTCTGTAGTTCCTATAACAGGCTCTTCTGGAGGCACCAGAACCTAGGCCATCCCTACTCCTAACATTTAGCTCTCTGAAGCCTGCCATGAAGCCTCACATCTACACTCACTATGTCTCTGCAAGTTGTGGAACCAAAACCTTCTGGTTAATATGAGAAGGCATGTAGAAGGCTTTCTACAAATGCTAAGGCAAAGGCTGCTTCTCCCCATGCTGCTTACTGTGAGCTCGTATAGATAAAACTGTTAGCAGCTCTTAATCCTTCTGGCTCTGCCCAGATCCTCAGCGAGATATAAATCCTTTTATGCTTAATTTGATCTTTCCTTTTCCTCCTGATGTTCACTGCTGAATATAAAATCCTGCAAGACTTCTGACTCTCAGGAGATAAACAGGCTGTATTTTACACGGCGCTTTTCTGGTCTTGGAAGTTCTCTTGCAACATTCAGTGAACTGGCAAGCCTATCCAGATGGAGAATCTGACAGGACAACCATCAAAAATAATCAAACAACAGGATTTTTGAACACAAAAAAAGCTTTTCCTGTCCATCCTGTTCATTCTACACAATTTATTACATCAGATCTGTCAAAAACTAGTGGTAGACAATCTTGAATTACTTAAAACTATTCACTGTACTTAATGCTAAATCACTCTAAATCTTCAGGCTTGGAAGTACTTCAACTTATCTAACTGCCACCCCCTAAAGAAGAGAATTCTGGAGTTCTTTATGCATGCCCCTTGTATTCAGTTCCAGCAAAGGGCAGGACTCCAAGCTACCTAGCAACATGATCCTGTCTGCCAAATCCTTACCTTCTCTGTCTGGCTCAGCAGGAAGTGATGAAAGTGTGGATCACTGTCCTTCACAGGCTACAAAGAGAGAAAATACAGCCTCAGAAATAAATTGAGAGAGTCACTGAGTTACCACAGCACAATTCCCTCGCTCTCCTAAGCTGCATGAGAGCAACAGCATAAGGCAGAAAACATAAAATGTATCAGCTGTCACAAGGAATCTGTTTCAATTAAGTAGTTTACATTTTGTTTCATTCTCAAAACCAAAGCCATTCAAACCAAATTCCTCATTTTTGGACATCTGTAGGAAAGAAGTATACAAGAAATATTAACATGGGAGGAAGAAAATTCATCTTGCACTTCTTCCTCTCCCAAGCAAATGAAAACACTTATTTTCCAGGTTCTAAGTAATTCCATAAGGCAGCATTCTGAGAATTGACTGAAGATTGTCACATGCCAAGCAAACCCATCCTAACACCAACAAGGACTGAAGGCCCAGATCCCTCATCTCCCCAGCGAGCATCACACGTACTAGCCTGGAATCACACTGCTCTTACTCTGCTTTACTGATCACTCATTTACTCAACAAAATCAAAAGGCTTTCAAAAGCTGCTTTGTGAAGGAAATCAAATGTAAGCACCCCATGTGATAGCATTCAGACAGGGAGAGACTATCCAGATCACCTCCACTCCTGGGAAGTCAGTCACAGAAATGCTTTTGAAACAAGAAGTGTAAACATTAGTACAGCAAGTTTAGTGTGAATCTGCAAGTTCCACAGAGACAGAAAACTCATTTCCCAGCATACTTCTGAACTATCTGGGATATTGTTCAACTTTGTTATACTGCAATATGTTCGACACAAGAAGGTAAGAACAGGCTGTTTTACAGCCAGACAAAAGGCTCTAGATTTGCTGCCACCAACTCAGAACATAGAGGTTGTAAAGCTTCTCACCTCGCTCACACTTGGCGGCCATTTAAATCCAGCCACTGTTCCAGTCATCACTCTCTTCACTGTACTTGACTCTGGAATTGTGAGGTCCTGAGGAGAGAGAAGGAGGATCACAAAGAGCTTAAAATCTGGCTCAGGAGCAGGTCACAGCATGATGATCATTCGAACACACATAGAGAGCTCCGAAAGCACGACAAAAGCCTTCAATTTCACAAGTCTTTCCACGAGCATTCATATTTAAACACGGAGTATTAGCAATACAGGTGAGGTGAGAAAAAGCATCAACTGCCAGCTAAGGATTTCAACCAGATTTATGGTTTCTGGAGAGTCCATTCTTCATACCTAAGAGGAATCACTGCATTTGTGCACTTATGGAATGAGCAGAAAACAAACATGCTTGATCACATACTTTCCTCTGGTGGATGCAAAACGCTTAACAAATGAGTGAAGAACACCATTACAAGGAGAGGTCTGAACCCTTTTAATCCTACCCTGTCACAATAGAATAGCCTACCTGTTATCAGGAGAACCTTCAAAGCATCAGATTGACAGCCACATCTGCTCAAGTTTGCAGAATCCATGAGACAAACTGGTATGTGGGCTGCCCCATCGGCTCCATAGCCCCAGTTTGTAGTATCATGATAGTACTTAACATACTGGGGCTTTTACTGTTGAGCAGATTAAACTTGATCTTTTATATCCCCAAAACATATAGGTTAAAATAAGTCTCTATGCTATAGGTCATCAATACATGCTATAGACATCTAGGTTTTTATGCTACATGAAGAGAACGCACAGGACTTCTACATAATACATGCTGTCTTCCTCTGACATGAGGGTTCAGAAATGGAGTCACATTACCTCCCCCCCAAAATTACTTCCTGAAAATGCACAATATACCTTAGCATCCACACAGAAGCACAAGAGAAGAACACTGCTTGCAAAAACAGACAGAGTAAGAGTCCTGGAGGAGTAACCTAGAACGATGCAACTGTCCAAGGGTTAGCAGGACAATGCAGACATCAGTCTCCAACCTTGTAGTGCCTAGGGAGTCTCCTGCATACTCCAGCTGGTGAAGTGTGGATAAAACCCGCTTTGATACCTATGAAGCTCTGCTGCTCCTTCAAATATGTTCATATAAGCCTAAACGTAAATGATCATGTATGGCCACAGAGCCTTTCTAGACAGAGCACACCTCAGCAAAAACCGGATTCTTGATTTTTATGCATCCTTATTACTTGGAGGCCAGAATTTGGACTGGAACAGAGGGAAAAAACCCACAAATCCTAGGATCATATTAATTCAGGACAACATAAACGTTTTCTACTCTAGGGCTAAGAACTTGAGGAATTTATGAGAACCAGGCAAGAAGACAAGATTTTAAAATTATTTCATAGGTTGAAAACCAGTATTAAGGCAGTATTGTTATATTTTCATAGCAATTATTTTATATGCCACTTTCAAGAAGCTATAAGGCTTACTTTCCTACCTTATCCTGCTTAATTTCCTGGTTTGTGGCCAGGAAGTTATCACACAGCTGGCCACCACTGTGTGGCAACTTTAAAACCAGTCTGCTTGTCAGGTGCCAGTAAAATAATGTCAACTACCACAATTAGCTCCCTCAAAGCACTCTGATGTCCTAAGGTAAATAACACAGTAAAACCTATGCATGCAATGTGTCAGCACAATCAGAATTCTCCCAGCCATTAGTTTTGATTAATTTTGGAATGAATCTAGCTCAAAGACACAGAATCATTTTGCAAGTGAAAAAAAAGGTCCTGTGGCTTATTTAAACAGAAATATGGGGAGACACAACAGGCTTATATGAAGACACTTAGAAAAGTGAAAACTATGTTGCCAATGAAGCATTTTCCTGCATCAGTCAAGACAAGTTCTGTAATTATTAGTTTTAATTCATAAATATGCATACATTTCTCCCCTCCTCCAACTTCCCTCAATAGAAGAAACTGATGGGATCTGTTACGCAGCCTAATTTCACAGGCATCGGTGCTAAAAAAGAGCCAATATTTTCTTTAACTGCTTAGGAGTTGGGCTTGATGATCCTTGTGTGTCCCTTCCAAATCAGGATATGCTATGACTCTACTCTATGATGCCTTCACAGCTAATATCTGAGATGATCAGCTTCATTTTACCACGTCAAGATAGTCTGCTCTTCAGCCGGCGAAGGCCAATCCGTTCACAATTCCAGAGAGCAAGGACCACCATCTTGACTTGCATCCTGACTGAAAGAAAAGACTGTGAAGCACATCGTGATCCCCTTGAAGCACAGATGAGCAAGCACGTTGCCATACGATGTTTCAGTTGAGGTCTCCCAGTTGTCTTCAGGTTTAGTCACTGATGAAGGATATGACTTGTAATAATCCACCAAAATAAATATCCATTTGGAATAGGAAGATCTAGACCACAACAGTGAGTTCCATAATAAAAAGGCTGGAACTCTATATGAGGGTAGACAAAGTGCTGCCACAACATAGAGAAATATCAGGGAAGTAGTAGGAATAAAATATTAAGGCTCCTTCAGAATGGATGATGGGAACATATCCTAAAGCACAGAAGCTGAAATGAAGACAATTCTTCTGGTGGATTCCCCAGGCTATGAATTTCTTCTTTAAGCCCTAGCCCTTAAAGATATCTCACTCTTTGTGAGTACTGAGGTTGAAGTTGAGCAACTACTTATCACCTGATCATACGAAGCAGATGAGATGGGAGAAGTCAGGAGCCAGATGAAGACCCATATCTCTTTGCTAATCCTTCCCACACAAATTGAACTCGAGGGATGACAAGACGAAAGAATGGAGTCTCCTGATACAGCTTTCAAAGCCCTCTCAAAGATACAAACAGAGCCACTCACAGCAACTAACTGCTAAAAATCACAGGAAGAATCAACAATATGCTTGCCAATTGGTATCAGGCAGCCAAATGGTCTAGAAGTAGCAACATGGAAAAGCTTAAAAAAAAGAGATACTGAACTGATTCTTCCTGCTGGCCTGTTAGTCAAGGTGCCAGTCAGACCTCAAGTCCAGCTGCCAAGTCCACGGGCACTGGCGGACATGCACAACACAAACCTTCTCATCCTTGGGTGGACGCCCCCGCTTTCGGGGGCTCTGATCCTGGGCTCTTTTCAAGGGTGATTTTGATCCTCTCTCTGACGAGACAGAAGAAACCCTCTTTTTTCCTTCCCCTGTGCCCTTCTTCACCTTTCCTTCAGACAAACTGCCTTTGCGTTTCTCTTCACCAGCAGACTGCTTGCCTCTTTCTTCACTGGAATTACGCCGATTCTTCTCTTCAGTGGAGTTATGGGAAGACGCCTGAGAGATTATAGAATAGAAGATGGTAAGGAAAGAAGAGAAGAGATGGAATGATTTTCATGCAAAACCAAGGATGTGAAGGACCCCGTGCTGATTACTATCAAGTAAAACAACAGCACAGTAACTTGAAAACTACGTATCTGTTAGACCTTTGGAGTTGGTGAATGAAGTTCCTGGTTAGTTCTCCTGCAAAAACACACCAGTTTAAGTAAGCATGTAACAGAACAGGCCACCTGAAGACTTGCCAGGACTGCTTGCACTTCCAATATACTAAAGACAAGATTAGTTGATACCAAATACTTAAGACTGATTTATAAAATCATCACAAGTAGATCAATTAGCCTCTTCAGTTTCTTCATCATTTAATAATCCAATAATCACTTTTCTCCACCAAACAAGATTCAACAGGGAAGAATAGAGGATCGGAAATAAACCCCAAAAACCTAAGGAAGGAAAACCCAATCCTCCTCAACTTGCCAGAGGCAACAAACTCCTTTCACGTAACAAGGCATCTAATCATCATTCATGCCAAAACCTGTTTTAAAGCACACAGTGAAAAAGAACCCACTCACCTGGTCCTTGCCTTTGGTTTTTCTAAGAAACTCCTCTACAGCATCCACAGCTTGCTGGAAGCGCTTACCCTTGTTAATCTTTATCATTTCCTCTTTGTGAGGGTGATAAGGCTTCAGCTGCTCCACTTTGATCCAAGCACTTGAAACAAAAAAAGAAGCCAGTTATATTTTCCAAACCGCAGTCCTCTAAATCCTCCTGCTTTGAGAAACACACAGCAACATTTTCTCCCCCAGGTCTACTGATGACAACGGCCCAAACTCACTTCCTATCTAGAAACTGAAGGGCTGCTATTACTGAATTCAGTGAGAATTTTCTTCTGGCACTTTTGTTACTTCTTAAGTTTTATGTCCCCTCATCCTAGCACTGTCCCCCTTTAAGCATTATTCTCTACTGACAAAACAGCTTTTGGATGTGATCACAAGATGCATTTAAAACAATGGCAGCCCAATGACTGCACTCGTTTCACCATGAGGAACACCCACAGACCCACACTTCCAGGTAAAGTAGGCAATACCACTCATCTACTCGAGAGTAAAGTCCACCTAACAATTCTCAGCTATCAATCCCTGGTTCAAATATATTGAGCATACAGGTGTCTAAAAAACTGTAGGAAAAAAACTCCAAAATTATGTATTCTCACTATAGAGATGACCACACAGAGTTAATACAAAAGCAACAGCTCATTGCTGAACTGATTTCTGATGTACCCAGGTATTCTGTATGAAAACAATAATTTTGTTTATGAGAAAAAATAACTATTTCCTTTGCCTCTGACTGGAGCAATCAGACTTTCTCTTGGCCCCTGGTATTCCTACGTTACACAAGACTATCCACGTATACAGGTTTTAAATATTCCCCAGTGCAGTCTAGCTTCTGCAAGCAGATGAAGTGATTTAAAGGCTGCATTTTCAGACACTGTATAGTTAAACTGAAAATGAAGACTAAAACAACAAAAAATAATTGCAATGCTTTGTTGAATCTTGATTGTTTCTTCTCTCTCCACAAAATAAACTCTAAAACTAAAAAATTATTAAGACCTTTCTCCTCACTGGCAATAGCAATTGTTTGTAAATTGCTTGTAATCAGGAATCAACTTTAATAAAGTAGAATGAAACATTTTGGGTCTCACTTGCAGAGACAATACCTGCTAGAAGCTACTGGAAAATGCCAGCATCCTTTCCAAAGAAGCCAGTGCTCTGGCATGCAAAGCTGAATCCTTTCACTTTGTTTACATTGTTTCTTTAAGAACTGACTTTATATAATAAGTCAAATCATTGCATTCAGACTAGAATCTGAGTCCAGCAGATATTCAGGGTATCTCTCACAGCTGCCCAGGCATTACTGTGAAACACACCTTAAAATTATCTTACACTGTAAAGCCTGCCTGTATGACAAACAGTGACAAACATCCCTGTGTACCACAGAGCACCAGCTCATGAGAAGCCTTTCATTATATGTATAAAGGAAACCAAACTTTGGATCACAATATAAAAAAACGTGTTAAATGTTGTTGCAGGACTGAATTTCTAAATAAAAATAAGTTTTTTTCCCTCAAGGCATTCTCTTAGGTTTCTGCACATCCTATCACTCCTCACTGGACAGGTTCATTAGTTTCCTTTCTCATTCTTTTTCCTTTGGTAGGGAGAAAGCCCGAAGTGCAAAGCTTTTTGTGGTTCCTAGCTTCAAAGATGTATCTTGGCACTTGTGATCCACCAGGACAAAGAACTAGAGATCTCAGAGACAAACTAATAAGTGAAAAAAATCTTAAATGATGCCTCAGTTAAAAAAAAAAAACTTTAAAAAAGCAGGGAAAAAATTAAATTGGTCTTTTCCTTTCCAGTTTTTTATGCATCACCTACTTGGACAACCTTCCATAAGAGAGGAGTATCTTTTGACACCAATGTCCACAAACCAATTGCATGCAGTGTTTCAAGCACTTGAAAACTAAAGAACTTTTCACCAAACAAAACTATTCATGTTTATACACAAGATCTCAATACCCTCAAGGCCAATGAAGCCCAGTATTTAGATCAGCCTCAAGGATACAACATATAAAATTAACTACTGTTTCTCTCCTGATTCAGCAATGAATCAATGCATGAAAAGAACATTAGTGATGACACTGAAGATGTCATATTTAAGATGACATTGCATTCATACTGCTGCACAGTCACCCAGCAACTCTAAAGAATGGGCTACATGCAAAGTGAAAAGATGTAATAAAAATACCTATTAGCAATGGCTTTCTCTTTTCATTTCTTCACACTGTTCCTCATTGTCTCCAAAATACCACTCTTAGAAAACCACTGCCCATGTCAAATCCACATTATTAACATGAACAATAAGCAAAAGTCAGAATAAGCAGAGGTAAGTATGAAAGTGACCTGCAGTTACACAGAAACAGTGGCACAGATAGATGCAGAGACACCAGACTGAAATCCATGGCACAGGCAAGGAGATCTTCAAACCTTCACCATTCCAGCCATTCTCTTCCTGTCTACAGATACCAACTCCTAATGATAAGCTGCAGAAATGAGATGGAAGAATATCCACCAATCTTCGTTTTTTGCAAACCATATAGCTAAGCATGGAAAACAGTAGCACTATATCTCCAAATTTCTGTTTACCGCAGTCTGGGAAAAATTTTATTGCTTTAGACTGTAGCACTTAAGATGCCCACACTAAATGCTAACACAACCAGTTCTAAAAATCAAAAGACAATTTCTTAGTTATTTACAAGGCCAGTGTGTGTGAGCATACAACAAATCAAGACAGATTTCCTTTGTTAAAAGGGAACATCCCAACCCTCATAAATTAAGTAACTCAACTAAACTCTGCAACTTAGGACATAAACTCCTAGGAAAAAAATACAAAAATGACTATATCATACTAGAATAAAGGAAGGGATATTTAGAAGAAATCCAGAAGCAGGGCAATACTGAAGGAAATTTAAGTATTAGGTTTTTCAAATTTGTGCAAAAAAATACCTCCTCAGTACGAGACAGAAGAGTTTTGTCTGTAGTGATTTTCAGCTATGGTACTGTGCTTGCAGGGATGTTGAACAATGTTGCAGCTGTCTCTGCTACAGCAACACAGAGCTCTGCATGGGATAATCGGCCTCACTGAGAAGTACCAGGAACACAAGTTCACCCACGCCATCAGTTCAGCCCATCCCTCCAGATCCTCAGATTACTAAGGTATATTTCCAACAGTTGGCAAATTTAAAGCAAGTGTTTTCTCATGTCAGGACCTGAAAGAACATTTCAGAAAGACTACATCCTGAATTTACTCTCTCCTTGAAAACCAGAGAAAACAGTGGCAAAAGGTAGGTGCTTTCATCCCAACAGGACATGGGGGATGGAAAGGTAATGAGCTCTGTGTTAGAATTACTGTGCCTGATGGAAAGAGGCTGCAAATTATTACATTCATCTTTGACTGCAAGCTTCCTCCATTTTTTCCCTTAATATATAAAATCAGGAAGTGCCCCTTGACCCCACCATATTTAGTTTCACACTGACGCTACAAAAGGCTGCGAGGAAGAATGGGCTGTCACAGCTTCCTGTTAAGACTGTGATATCCATGACTTGCAAGTCCATTTGGCTATCAGGGAATGCCAAAGGAGGAAGAAAGGTGAATGGCTGTGTTTGTACACACACCTCTGAGGGCTGCAGGACCATCACTAGTATTTCTATAGAATCACAGTGGAAAGATACCTTCAAAGCAATTATATCTTAAGTTTTAACAAATATCATAATGATTCTTAAGCAGGCTAAAAAATGTAAAACTGTTTTTAACTGCATGACACACACCAAGAAAGACTTGCAGGCCAGCCAGTCTATTAGTTTTAACTACTAAAAGCAATAAATGTACATACACAGCAAAATAAAAGTTCTTACTTGACTACTGAAATATCTACAAAGATTTCCTACAACAAAACTGTAGGAGATAAAAATAAACGGGGATTTTAAATACTATCTGAGAAGCACAGTTAGAAGCACAGATAAGAGGTCTAAGTTCCACTTCTAAACTAAATCAAAATTTTTGTTTAGATTCCTGTAATGATGTTGTTACATGCTTGTCAGGTCTATGGGCAGGAAACATCAACTGTTCTTGATTTTAGACAGAGAATCCTTTTAATGTTACTTGCCCTAAGAAGAGACACTCAGAAAAACAACTCCTAGGCAGAGTAGAAAGAACACCTTATCAATTTGGAGAACAAGGTAATAAAGAGACATTATATGATTGTCTTAATTGCACACAATCACTTAGAACAGGACATGGGTATTTCATCACAACTATGAACATCAAGTGGCTTTCACTGTGGGAAAGCATATATGTACTTCACAGTTTAAACATAAGCAAAATCTGCTTCCATGGGTAGAGAATCCTTATCTTTCAGAAAACCCATTCCTTCAAAAGTAACAGAAGAAACTAACACCACCAACACAACACATAGAGTACAGTGCTCTGTAGAAAATTTATCAAAAGCCAGGATTTAGAGCAGTCAGAATGCACTCATGCTCTCACCTCTGTACGGTGGACCAAAAGTACTCACAGCTTTCCAGTTAATCTATTTCCTTAGTCACTGCATCATTGCAAAGGCCTAGTACACGGTAATATTCAATTTGCAGAAAAAGGAAAATGCATTTCCCCTGTGCTGTATCCTGAGCTAGCCATAATTTCACAAAAAACCAAAACTTATACACTACACCAAAACCACTGCCAAACTCATCAGTATGTTTTTATTTATTTACCCTTCTGCTCTGCTCATGCACATCAATTTTTACTTCTAAACATCTTTCTCCTTAAACTTTAGTATGACAAAGCAATGCCACATGAGTCAGTGGGGAACAATTTGCACCCAGCCTGGAACAGGCGCATTTCTGGCCACAGAAGGCACCTAAGAATCCTCAGAAGGAAGTAAGTCTAAAATAGGGTCTGACACTGCCTACCTCTTGACAGACTGGCTGGCAACAACCCTCAGAAGTTCACGGGAGGGACTGTACCCAGAAATCAGCATCGCCTTTGCCTCCTATGCACTGGACAAGAGGTGAACAGCTGATGACCAGATCCTCTCCTGTTCAACCTCAAAGGGTAAGGCAGTAATACAAGAACTGCAGCAATGGATCCATGGTACAGAAATGCCATCATACAGTGTGAACACGGCCGAAGAAGTGAGGTGCTAAAAAAGAAGCTATATGCACTAGACCATCGGTATGGGTAAGTGCACTCCTCATCTCCCCTTGAACAGTGACAGCTCTGCACTCTGCTGCTCCTCAGGCTGTTCATAAGGTGGTGACATTCTCTCAGTTACCTTCCAAGTCCTGTTTATACACATACCTGAAAAAAGTTTTTGCCAAACCCACTAGTTTACTTGTACAAAAGATTTCCTCTTCATCTTCACATTTGAAGTGAAATAATTTCTATTTTTCCTGATTTGGCTGATTATGCTCAAACACAATCAAACATATGAGAACTTTCTCAGACAACACACTGGTTAGAACAGCACAACTCTAACCAGTACATCCTTCTGACATTCCAAGTTACGACAGAAGAGGCACACAAGCTTCTGTCTCTTGTCTCTATCAACATTATTTGAAAGAAAGGTGATAGTCTTTATTTCTATTCAATTTTCAGGTACCAATCAAAGCAAGTAAATTTCTAATTCTTGATTATCTAGCATGATATGATTAAATTTCACAAGCTGGAAATGTGGGGAAGGGGCTACACTACAACAACCATACTACTTCACTGTGCCAGATGACCAAATCTGCCCTAGGCAGAGCTCTAGAATCTTGTAGTAAATCCCAATTATTTTGCAGCTCTGAACTCTTCATTTGCAATCATGTTATTAATCTCAGCTACAGTATCCAAGATATTTGACCATTTGTCTTAATACCAAAAAAATCTGTATTCGATTCAATGTGAAATACAAGAATTGAAAACAAATAATCAGGACAGAAATAATGCACTTCAACTCCGAATTTATTAGCTCAAATGATCATATTTAATAACACCACCAAAAAACGTTCTCTGGCCTCAAATCAACCTTCACCTGCCTCAAATTACTAGAGATCCAAACATTCCCATTACTATGTAGCATTCACTACTCCTCCATCAAATTTAGACCTCATTTCTTAATGGAAAAATATTTTAGTATTATGCAAAAATAATTTAGCAGTGAAAAATAATTTCCTTAAGAGACATTCACCAAATGGCTTCAGTTCTTGTCATCTTTCTTCCTAAAAGTAATGGGGTTTTTAGTCTTCCACAGATATTTGCAATTTTCTTCTTTATTCCGTGACTTAATAGCAGAAAATAAAGAGGAAAACTGAAAAGTTATCAAAATAATTTTCAGTTTCACAAAACATCCAAGTTCTCAGGGGCCTTTTTCATTGGGTTTTTTTACCTAGTTTGTAATCATTTAAATCTAAGACAACCATGATTTTGCTCACATTTGAAGTCATTAAATTCTGCTTTGCAAAAAGGAACTCTAAAACAGTTTTGGCTCTCTTATACTGTGAAGTCTTACAAAAGCACGGCTAGAATGTTTTCAATCAGCATGTAGGACAGCATATTCCTTCACAAATGACAATTATATAGTTACTTTTATTCCTCTGGCAGCAAAAAAAAAAATACTCTGAGCTGTACCTTTCTCATTACATGCTAAAACCTGACACAGTCATGCCACACCTAAAAGTGGTGAGCTATCACAGCAACTCAAATCCTAAAGCTAAGTTTTTATACCCTTCATACACCTCAGTGAGCAGATATAGCATGCAATAACAGCTGAATATCTTTTATTGTATGGTTCAAAGGCAATCCTTTACAATGCTACACTGCACTGTAATATTAGTAAATATTTCTTCCACAAAAGATCCACGTTATGTGGTACAATATTTTCCCCAGATGAAAACAAGGAGGTACATACTGATCTTCTGTTCCAAAAAACTTCACAAAGAAGCACTTCTTTCCTCGAGGTTTCTTCAGATCTTTAGGTGGGTTAACAATCTAAAGGCGATTAGAAATCATAATTAAATAGCACATAGTGACAAATTTTGTGATTTTACCACCCAGTCTTCAGCTATTATAGATTTTTTAAAAATCTGATTAGGAGGATAACTTGCATTAATAAAAATTTGTTCCACTTAGGTAATCTTAAGAATTTAAACTTTGTCTTTACTCGCAGAATAAATTGCTTATTAACTTTAGAATGCTAGTAAGGAGAAAAGCTATCATTCAGTTACAAGGTGACACCTGTAGAGGACCCTGGTGTTAACCTGACCCAATAACCAAATGTTTATAGTTGTCAGCCACATTGACTACTCTTTTACCTGACTCAAACTTACCTCAGCATGGTTAGCCCTCATACAACATATAAGATAAAAGAAAGGTCTTTCTGAGAAGTAGAAGGAATACAAACGGCAAATATAATATACAAATACAAATATAAAATTCCTTTTTAAAAATCTTTCATCTGAAAATTCCCCAACCAAACCAGAAGTAGGATCAAACCACCCTAGATAATTCTCAAAAGCGACACCTCTAAAACAGTATCTTGAGAAGCCAGACTCCTTATTTCCATTATTTAAGACAGTACTGTTAGCCAACTTACTATAGAAGAAAAGAAACATGTCTTGCCGAAAGTGACAGGGATTAAACAATTAAATTTGGGAAACACAATCAGTTCCAGAGCTGGCCCTCTGTTGGCTTTTCATTCCACATGAACTACCAGCTCTTACTGACAGACTGAGATAACATATCAAATAAAGCCCTAAACTAGTTCACACTTTAGATTTGTGGGGCAGATGTGTAAAAGAACAAACAAGACAACCAGTATTAATCTACAACTGAAATGCTTTCAAGCAAAGCTTTCCTTATACAGAAGGAAAACACAAAAAAAAACACACCAAAAAAAAAAAAAACCAAAAAAAAAAACCACAAACCATGAAAAACTAAAAAAAGCAACAATAAATACAAACAAACCTCACCTTCCCTGGCCATGGAGGGTAACGGCCGAGCTTCCCCCTAGAGAAAAAAAAGAAATTATTAGGCACTAGAACTAGAGAAAAAACTAACTATCCCGATGCCTGCTTTTTCATATTATGTCACGCTTTTCACAATAAAAGAGTTACAGTTTGCAGTCAAAACCATCTGTTCAAGGCAGGACACACGGCTGACATCTGCACCTAACTCAGGTCTCTGGACAGTCTGTTTGACCTTGCTGGACTGCCAGAACTGAAGAGAAGAGTAGCAGTAACACAGTCTGCAAGATACAAGAGTAATAGGCACTGCAGGACCATAAGAGTGAAGATTTCTTCACATGGAGCTGAAAAAAACACTGAGGAATGCAATGAGACCAAAGTTCAGGTTAAGAACTTCTATCTACCTGTCTAGAGCAGCTGATGAGCAGAGCAGCCACCAACTCCCAGCACAGAAAGCTAAGGTTCTGATTCGTGCAGAAAAGCATTAATAGCATGATCCCTTCAACAGGTGTTCCATTATCACTTTCTTCAAGTGCTCACCACACTAACTGAAGATATGAAGACCCATAGAAGAAAGGCAGAAAAGCTTACTTTCTACACTTGCAAATGTTTCCATTATGAAAACTAGGCAATACTAGAAATAATCACAGAGGAGGAAGAGACATTAGTCTTAGCCCCCAGCTCACCAGCTTTCCTGGTGAGCTTTATCCTTATTTCACCCTTGTCACTGACTTGTGCTGCAGTACTCACAAAACCCCATTAGTAAGTGTCTTGCAAGAGACAGGCAAAGAACCTGTGGGGCCCAACAGCTCCTGACACAAAACTTCTCAGCAAGTGGCACTGTAGCACGCTGAGATGGCAGTGCTGCACAGAGGATTCAGAAGCCAGGGGCAGGCAGCAACACTGCCAAGAGCTGTGACCATGACCATGTCTCATATTCAATGCTTCCATTACTGTACTGAGAAAAAAATTCAGCAAACCCTTTCTGCTGTTGCTGTCTCGTTGTTAAAAGTTCCCTGCAACAGCTCTAGGGACAGCACCTGGCTGTCATGTACAAAACTAAAGCAGGATAATCTGCATTCCAGCACCGAGAGTAACACTCCCCAAATTCTCATCTGAAATACATATGCTAAAAGTAACTAATCCTTACTTACTTTGCTATATAAATTAGACAACTTCCCAGCACTGCAAATTTTTCAGATGAGAGCTGCAGTTGTCACAGTCTGAAGCACAGCCTTCTTTTTATCTGGGTTATCAGTATAAATGCATGCATTTATTCACGTGTTGGAAATCAGCTACTTCTTTGAGCTCTGGCAGGACAGCCTAGCCCATCCAGCACAGCGAAACCTATGCACTTAATCGGTGCTTACAGGGCGCGGTGGAATGCTCTCACTTCTCCCCATCAGGAAACACGAAATCACAGCTCTGACTATCTGAGGGTAAGATCGCAGTGACAAGGGGAAACGGCTTCTGGGGGTTTCCACAGGGACACCCCAACCTGCAAGGAAACGCTGGACTGTTGTGTTGCTTCATTAAAGCACTGCCAAGAAACGGCGCGTGGCCCTCCATAAACACTTTCTATCTCTAACCCTACTCGCATCCCTCGGGAGGTGAGCCCGGGCTTACAAGGGAACCACGCAGCGCTCGTCCTTCCGTCCCGCTTCCTTCATCCTTCCATCTGACACAGCTTCCGTCATGCGCCGCCCCCGCCAGCCTCCCCAGTGCCGGCCCGGCTCCCAGTCCAGCCCGCCTCCCGCCCGCCCGGTGCCCTGGCTCCGGGCTGCCTCCCGCCGCTCCTCCCACACTGCCCAAGGCACGGCGGCGGCGATACCCGCAACCCGGCAGCAACCCCACCACTGCACTGCCCTGCTCTGCCGAGCCCCACCCTGCCCACAGCCGCTCTCCGAAGTCACCGCGGGCTGACAGCGCCCAGCGCGGCCCAGACCGACTCGGCTCCCGCCGCGTCGCTCCCAGGGCCTGCTACAGCCCCGCCTGCGTCTCCGCAGCCGCAGCCCGATTCCGCTAAAGGCGCCCAGTCCGCCATGCTCCGCGGCCGCCGCCCAGCCTGCACCGCCACTCACCACACCAGATCTCCAAGCCTCAGACTCACGGTCGCCATCTTACCGACACGGACCGGCCGGGCCGCGCGGGGGCTGCCGGGAGCACGACAGGGGGAGGGGGGCGGTGGCCGGGCCCATTGGGCGGGCGCATCACGTGGGCAGGCGGTCCGTCACGTGTACGGGAGGGCTGTCAGCGGCAGCCGCCCCCTCCCCCCGCGACGCCGGGACGGCGGCGGCTCCCATGGGCGCGCGGGGCCGGGCGGGGCGGGACAGAGCGCTGCCGCCCGTTCCGCCGGGCGCTCCCGAGGCTGCTTCTGGAGCTGGTTCCCCGCCGTGGGTGTGGAGGGGCCGTTGCGCGGGAGCTCGGTGTGGAGCGCATCGTCGGAAGTGTCGGAAGCAGCGCCGTGTGCCGAGCGCATCGTTGGAAGTGCAGGTGGCGGCCCGTGGGGCGGCGTCTCTTTGCTGGGCCGCTCTGGTGGTAGCTGCCGCCCCCGCCCCCGGCGGGGCCTGTGTTTGCGCCGGGGCAGCGAAGGGCGCTGCAGCACCCCCCAATAAACAGCGGCTCCCTTGATATAATTCCCCTTAAGAAGCAGAAACCGAAGGGCTCCGTTGCTGCCGCTGTTCGCTGCCCTCGGACTGTATATGTATCCCCCGTTAGCCCCGCGGAGCCCCACCAGGAAGTGGCGGGTTTGGAACATGATTTGCGCTCGTTCTCCCAGGCAGGGGGAGACGCCGTATGTGGTTGGCTATTGCGGAGCTGCATCGTTTACCTGATGACTTGCTGTGTGTGGTGGCGTCTTTAATTTCTGTCCGTCCAACAAAGCCAATTCCGTAATTTTTCAAGCATTCTTGTCACCTCTTCTGCTCTGTGGACTCACAGAAACTGATATGTGGGGGCCTTAAACAGAAACGAGCTTGATCCTTGTGCTACACAACCCTTGGGTACAAGCTCGCAACCCTGTACCTTGTAATAAGTGGTTTAATTGCTCTGCTAGTTCCCCCAAATCACTTTAGTACCAGGAGTCTCCTCTCTTTTCTAACAGCTGAATTGAGATCAAGTATTTTTTTCTAAGCCAGTGTTTCTCAACTTAATCAGCTACCTCCTACTTACTCCTATGCCCCTATCTTTTTTCAAGAGATGCACCATATTAGTCTTAAGAGCATTGTCAGCCTTTTTAGTGTGTGGTTTACTTTTTTAGTGTGCAGCACGCATGAACACACCACTTTGTCCTCACACATTGATCTTGGCTGCTGGAAAACCCCACTCAGTATCCTGAATGCCTTCAATATAAGACTTAGCAGCAGTGCTGGAATTGCTGTTCTTCCTTTATTTAAGATACAGATTTCAATGAAAAAAAACCCTTCTGTTAGATTTAATTTACCAGTATTTAGCCAAAATCCAAGGGCTGATCTATGCGGTTTTTACTTAAAGTCTACTCATTAAAAGTGTAGTCTCACTGTGCTGGCATTCCATGACTGGAGCAGCTCAGAGGAACTTGTCTCATTCCAGTACAGAGTTCCACGACCCGGCTGCTGCTCGTGGCCCAGCCTTTGATTGAAGACCTGGGCCAGACCTGTTGCTTTAATCTTCCTGAAACCTGGTTTACTCAGGTTTTGAACGTTCCCTGACATAGCTGAATCTGCTTAGATTTTTCTAAACCAGACACTGTTCAGATGAATCTCAACCAAGCCCGGCTCCCCCGAGAGCCGCCTAGCACACAGTCCCGTCAGGCCGCCTGGCACCGGCAGGTCCGCAGCACAGCGAGGGGCCGCGGCACGCCGTGCGCTCTGCGGCAGCAGCCTGACAGCGCCCGCTGCGGGCGGCCGGGCCGCGCGGAACGCTGCGGTTGTCCCTGGCGACGGGCGGGGCGACTTCCGCGGGGCCCGGCGCGGCTTCCGGGAGAGGCGGGAGCAGCGGAGCCAGGTGGGGCTCTCGGTTCTGCCTGCTCCGCGCCCTCGGCCGCCGCCATGGCCCGCAAGAAGCTGCACCGTCCTATCGCCGCCATGGCCAGGAAGATCCGCGAGTACCGGGCGCTGAAGGATCGGCCGCGGGACTCTCAGCGCTTTGCCGTGGACTACGAGACCATGCGGCGGCCGCTGACGCAGAAACGGCTGCCCGTGCGGGCCTGGGAGGACGTGCGGAACGAGAACCGACTGTTGGCGCTGCTCTGCCGCCTGCCGCGGTTCGGCGTGGGCCGCACCGTCACCCGCAAGTCCTGGCTGTGGGCGCACCGCGAGCCCTGCTACTGGGTCATCACCAAGGTGAAGGCGGACTACACGGCCGAGGTACCTGCCCCGTCCCGCCCGCCGCCCCGCCGCGCCCTGCGGAGCTCCCGCCCTCCACCCCGCCGCGACCCACCCTCAACAGGTTCCTCTTTTCTTTGCAGAACATGGACCATGGAAGAGCTTGGGGCTACCTGACCTTCAAAGGTAAAACCAGCTCGTTTTCCCACACATGGGGGCAGAGCTAGAGAGCACCGGGTGCGTGAGGGTGGCGGAGAAACCGCAGGCTCCCTGACTGGGAAATTTGTTTTTCTCACATCTTCTTATGGGAAAAGAAGTTCCTTGCGTTTCAAAGGGTGGGGAATCTAGCCCTTTCACAATGTCTTTCCAAGGAATGCTGTGGGAGAGCCAGTGCAGTATGACCTTGGGGAACAGCAGCACTAAAGGCATATTAGATGAGCTGACAGACTGTTCTGAGACTTTCAAAGCAAGACACAGTATGAGCATGAGGGCATTCCAATTTAAATTGTCTCTAAAAAGGAAAAAATGCAATGGCAATGAAGTTGTGTTACTGGAATTTTAACTTAATGATTGGAGTTGTATGAGTGAATTTTCCTTTTCAGAGCTGCTTTATATTAAGTATATAATTTTCCCTTACTGGAATTACTGAAATAGTACTCATTCGAAGGTTTTAAGTTGTTGGCCACTTCTAACACTTAGTTTTCCAGGAAGCTTTCATCAGTGTAGGGAGAAATTACTCTTGTTCCTTAACCATGGAAATGGAACTTGAGAGAGACAAAGCAAAACTATAAATTAAGAGAGGGAATGACCCACTCAGCTGGAACCTGTTTCTATTTCTATTTCAATTCTCAGGGACAGAAGTGAGATCCTATAGTATAGCAGGGAATAACTTGTCCAGCCCTTTGAAAACTCTGTTGACTCTTGCCTTTTGTAGCATATTTGGTGCCAAAGAGTCAACACTTGCTATGTCTGGAGGCAGTTTTATGTGATGGTGTTACCCACTGGTGTTCATCATCTTTTCCCAGGCAAAACTGAAGAGGAAGTGAGGGAGATTGACAAAGCAATGTACCATGACTGGCGCATAGTGCCCAAACACGAGGAGGAAGCCTTCAAGAAATTCATCCCAGTGCCTGAGGTGACTGTTCGGTTCCTGCCATACCCACCACTGCTCCGAGCCATGATCCTTGCGCAGTGGCAGAAGGAGGGAAAACCAATCATGGAAGAGCCAGTTATTGATCTGGAGGAGGGCCTGGCCTCTCCCCTAGAGTGGGCAAAGAAAAAAGCTACTGGGACACCAGTATAGAGACTTCTTCAGTGTCCTAAGCATCCCATGTGCTCTGACTACCTGTTAGAAGCTCAGTGCAGAAAGGGTCTTATAGACCCCCTCTGTGCCCATTGTCCTAGGATGTTTCCAGCTTTTTCCTCAGCCCTGTACAGTAACCTCATCTGAAAGGGAAGATGCAGATATACTCAGACTCTTCTTCCATAACTTTGGTTACAGTGAGCAGAGGAGTCTTCTCGGTTCCCTGGATAGTCTCTAAATACACAGCTTCAGCTGCAGCTTCAGCCAGCTGCAGTTCTTTGGAGTATAACATTTTTTATATAACTTGGATCCTGCATGAATCACAAAAAAATGACTGTAAATATCACAGTATTTCACAGAGCTGTGAAAAAATGTATCTTCACATGGAAATAAATGTTAATTCTGCAGCACAATTCTAAGAAAACCCATGGGTTTTTTTCAATGCCGAGACATTGTGACAGCCAAATGGAGAGCCATTAGCTCAGGCACAGCATCTGGTTTCTCTGCAGAATGATCTGTTTTTAGCATATGAAGGCAGTGAACAAGAAGTGAGGAACGTGACTTCAATACTAAGATAATCCAAAGCTATCCGTCTCTTACTTCAAAAGATGGCTGTCAAGAGATAGGGGAAATTATTTTCCTTCTGGTGATGCAAAGGAGGTGGGATTGGCTTTTACCATTTGAAGCCAATTGTAAATTACCCCTGTTCCAGGGCAGCATGTTGCGAACGTTAAAACATGCAGCTCCTGAGCACAGTTCATGGTATTTCATCTTCTCTTGCAGTGGCTGCAGATGCTGCTGCTGTGTCAGTGGCTGTTGGAGGCTCTGGTCTGGGTGTGGGTGGAGGGAGCACAAGAGCTGTTCAGCCCTATATATCAATTCCCTGCAGAAGCAACAGTTTAGTTCCTGTGTCTGCAGATAGTCAGGAGGTGGTGTTCCATTTACTGCAGCATCATGAAATCACAAATAGCCTGAAGGGATTTAGTGAGGCAGGGCACCAACTGGACTCTGCTCCACCCAGTGTGTGTGGCCTGGATGAAGCTGGGAACATGTGGCCCCAGCCAGCAGGAAATGGCTGCAGGAGTGCACAGATTGACATTCGCTACCTGTATTTCCATAGGGTTCCTCACCAGAGGTTCCTCACCACAGGCTTCGCACCATGATTGAAGGGTTAAGATGCTATGGGATATGAAGGAAGGCTCATCTTGTGAGTTAAAAGCTGGTTCTGTGACAAGGAACAGAACTGAGCCTGCCTTGTTGTGGCAGGAGCACTGCAGAGCATGTGCCAAATCTACTTCTCTGGCTTCAGAAGGAATGGGAGAATCCAGAAGAGGGAGAATCAGGAGTAATGTTAAAGGCACAGTTTGAGGCTGTGAGCCTTCCCATGGCAGTTGCTGTGGCTGGAAGGTAAGTTTGTCTGATTCCTATAGTCTCCACTGCTGGACACTGAGCTGAGCTGTTGCCTTCCTGTCTGCACCATGATTGAGGTACTACTGAACACAAACCAAGAACAAGGGAGATTAAAGGGAGGTGTAGTTGTGAGTCAGATGGGATGAGTAGA